GAAGTAAGGCTATATTAAATTCCATAGAAACATAAAGCCTACTTATATCATTGCTGAAAAATTCTACTATCAATCCCTCGTCACCTTAAAGGAAATATGGTGAATACAGCACTTATGATAAAATTTGATTACTGAAAATAAATGCTACTTTTAGGTATCATGGCTGGTTTCCCACTATTGCATATACATAACGCACATATACACATAGAAGCATCCACAAGAACATGCTTCTTGATTGATATGTGGCTTGAAATAGCCAAATCACTGTATACCTCATCAAAATGCCATTTTAATACAGCATGCTAGGAGTCGGTGAGTTTTCTTGACTTGCTAACTTGAATAAGGTTGTAAGAGAGAAACCCTGTTCTGATGAAGTTCATCGTATGACTGATGAAAGCTCGACACATTTACTCCAGAATGGTAAAAGGTTGTCTAGATGATAGCCTCTACTAAAATGTTGCTTTAAAGCCAACCTACAGCCGACTAAAAGATCTCCGCCTTAGTATTCTGGTGGGATCGACCTTCAAATCACTCTTCCGCATCAGTTAACTCGAGATCGGAGTGAGCTCAAAAATTACAAATCAAGATACTTTTCGACACATAAATTTTCTTCGTACATTTCATGCAAATAAATGAATGAAATGATTGAACTTGACCTGTGAATTGGATGTGATTGTTACCAAACAGCTGCTTCCTCATCAAAATCCCTTGCATTTTTGATTTTGCAATGTTGTTTGTTTTCAACTATGCTTGCCAACTGTTAGAGCCATAACGAAATTGGAGACTGCTTAAGCCTTATTATTGCCCAGTTGTTCTTGTTCCCTCTTCCTCTCCCCATTTACATCCTACTTTCACACGGGGTTTTTACTCAATTACCTATGCTTTTTTCTTATATTCGCCTGTTAGCAGGTTGGCTTGTTTTTATCGCTTCTCTAACTTTCTGCTTAATTGTGAAATCCCCATTTTCTTCCAAACATTTAGCTTCCAGCCACATTTTATCTGGTCTCCCCTATGTTGATTGGATTCCAAAACCTATACAACCTCGTATTGATTGGTTGGCAGAGCTCGCCCTAATGGATACTGCCAAATAGATGCTAAACCTTGTAGTAGCCTTATCTGGAGAAAAGATCAGAGAATTCTCAAAGTAAAGCATTACCGAGGAAAGGTTTCTTTTCTTTTCAGACCTTTTTTCATTCCCCAATTCCTCAGTAATTCGCCCATCTTTATCGACAATTGTCAGGACGGCAACATTCGGATCCTAGTGGAGTGGCCCAGCACTGTTTTGTCCCGAAAAGAGCATTCTACTCATCCTACACCCCAGTACCATCAACTAATTGTCAATTAATCCTAATTAATAATTGATCTCAACTAGTGGGTAGCATTTTGGACGTGAGCACTTTTGTTGTCGCGATGCTTTATAAAATTTATTTCACCCTCTGACAGTGTCTATCGCGGCTGGAGAGATTGAGGCCTCAGGACAGTGCATCAACGACTTTTTCCTTAAAATACACGATCACTTCTGCCTCCTTGGGTTTCCGATGAGGCCAATTTTCCAATATCTTTAATTAGTCTTATAAAGCTAAATGAAGAGTTCAACGGCATGAGGCTCTTAGAGGATTCTATTAAGCTCATGTTTTATCCATTCTTATAAAGCAACTTATTTTTTTGGATAAAGGCGGAGAATCGCTTCCCTCTCTTCTGGCGCCTTGCACGGACGCCCAAGTGATGGGCCTCGGGACCGACTCCGTTGATGTGCTTCCGCCAGACAGCGGCGTTCGAATGCGTACTGCCAGCAGCCCGTCACGACAGCCGACTTCCGGTCCCGCAAATCATCTGCCACAGCCTGGCGTTACCTCGTTGTCCAGACCTTTGGTGGCCGCAACGAGGAACCGGCTGTTTGGACCAGTCACTGGCTCCGGTATGACTGAACTCGAGTTTGGGTATTTGAGAGAAGGATTTCAGCGCCTATCTTGCTGTTGAACAATGTGATGAGTCTGATTCCGGCCTTTTCTGAGCTTGTATTCCTCAATGCTTATATGAATGCACACTTGTTTATGCTACTTTTAGACCGACAATTGATAACTTGATATTTAAACTTTCCTCTGGTTTTTATGCATATCGGTAAGGTGAATTCAATGGAACTTGTGGCTCAAGTTTCAGCCCAGTCCTAACACGTTTGGGCTTATAAGATTGACCTTGTTTATGATCAAATTGGTGTTTTGCTTGGGGTGCTTCATAGGTTTGTCTCATCGGAACCATAAGGAATTTACTCGTATACTTGAGCATCTTATTCTTTGCCAGACCGTTCAACATTTTTGAATTATGGTCTTTTTCCGAAGAAAAATTTCTTAAAGGCGGGGGAAGCCAAAGATGGTGTGTCTCGTATTTTAGTCAAAGTCTTCTTTCACTGTCTAGAAGTGAGTAACTTCGTAGTACCAGGGTCGTCTAGATGAGCCTACCTTATCTGGAGACATTTGCCATGATAATTTCCAGTTTCGAAGCACGGACTTTGACCACGCGATTGATCCAATGCACAGGCCGAACTGAGTTAATGAGAAACCTAGAGATCAGTTAGTCTAGCATCAAGTTTGAGAATCTAGGTTTTGCAGGCTGCTCAATAAAGCTATATACAGCAGATGCATCATTAAACGCATTGGGCGGATCGTAGAAAACAACGCATCGAGTGGCATGGATACGTGGCAGCGACAGGGAAAAACTGAACCGGAAAGATAAGAGTTGGATCTTTCAAAGCAGGAGGGAGACGAAAAGGGGCAGGATGGAGTAGATTGCGGATCGGATAGGCCCCACTAATTTCGCTCCAAAAGTGCACAACTATGGAGAAGGTGAAAATAGAAATACTAGAAGTTGTGATAGGGAATGGGGTTATATGAGGATATTGGATGGG